TTAGCTTGTTATGGGCTAGTAGCAAACAGTTCATGGACAAGTAGAAAATCTCATTGGAGTAGCACTGCTCTAGGGAGTTGCTAGAGGTCCTCTTAAATATACAGTTCTGAGATGCTGCCTGTGACTTTCTGAACTGTGTATTTATTAACTCTCAGGGTGTCCAACTGAGCAAGAATACATGGAATCATGTCCCTGATGTGAACAGAGCTGTAACTCACCTTTCCTTCCCCGACCTTTATCCATGGTATGAATAGGTGGGTTCCTTAGAACCTGGTATATTTTTGGTCCATACCTTAAAGCACATGCTTATCTTATTCAGAACATGAAGCCTCCCACAGTCTGCCTTCCACCTTCCGAAAAAAAAGGCAGAAGCTCCAGCTATCACTCAGTTTCTGCCCAATCTGGTATGGGTACACCTCACCTTAAGTTCCTGCAAAGAAAGCTGCCTCAGCCACGCAGGGCGATAGTCTTGTCCAAGGAATGCTTATGGTAAAAGCAAAAGGTTGGATTTGAAATTAGGCATTATGTATGCAAGAAGATGAAGAGTAATTGCTAATTTCCCTCACAAACAAATACATTTGTTTATGATTTTGATTTTCTAAATACACAAAAATGCACATCATAAAGTACTTTTGCTTTAATGCTCCTTTTAAAATCCCTAATAACAACTTCATGTGCTCCACAGAAACAGACCATGTAATTTATTCAGGAAAATTAAAACCAGTAATCTAGCATTTGGAGTGAAGATTTTTTTTTCCCCCTGCATGTACTTTAAAAACATTAAAAAAAAAAAAAAAAGAGAGAGAGAGTGAAATCTGCATGTGAAAACAAAGCCTTTAAAGTGAATTACTATTCTAGAAAATCCAGCTAAGAGAATTTCATAAAAGTAGCCATTTTCCTTCTTGTTCCTTTACTGATAAAAATAAAAGTGATCTGGGTACTTTTAAGTAAAGAGGCAAGAAAGAAAATGTTCCACTCAGAACAAATGAGGTGGGTATTTTTCTTTGCATCAAAATCTACAGTAACTTTATCTATAAATCCTGAGCAAGAAATATCCAGAATAACCACATTTCATAAGCTTTGCTGAGTTTGAGACATCTACATAGCAAAAGCCTTGCGATGGGAAAACATTAATGCTTTTTATATTGGTAATCATCTGTAACATGAGCAATTAAGTATAGTACTAATGGACTATGGCCAGGAGCCTGGTACTAATATTAAAAACTGACAGAGATGAATAGGTTTGGAAGCAAAACCAGGCTGACAAAGACATTTTTATGAAGTGCTTGGACCTATTTGATTTAAACCAATCAGAGGCAAGTTTGTACGAGTCAGGCCTTCAGCGACAATGATGTATTCACAAGCATTGTACCATTTCTGCTATGCCTTAAATAAAAACACCCATTGATTCTTTTCAACAACCCACACTTTCATTATTGCACTCATTAATAAACCAAAAGTGCTCAACTAATATACAAGTAACATTTTACTGAGGAACTGGCTACATTTTTCTTGTTGTAAAATGAAAACGTTTACTGGAAACATGAACCACAGTGCATGAAAAATAAATCAATGGATAATGCATAGTAGATCAGTCACTTCTTCATCTTCTAGGAGAGCAAAGCTGGTGACAGGGAAATAGGAAAAGGAGCAATTCTCTTTAACAGAGTGAAAACAATGAGAGAACAGAAGAACCTCATCATTCTGATTTGGTTTGGAAGGCTTTAAAAATTTCCAAGGGCATTTCCAGACTAGATATTTGCCCACAAAGTCCTGACCATTCTCAACTCAACCCTTCTCTTGAAAACAGTGTTCCTTCGCCAATCTAATCATCTCTGTTTCATCTGTTCATGCAACCTGTGACTAGCAAGAATGAATGAAATCCACCACAATCATGAAGTTTCAGCCCAGAGCTTCAGTCTCTTCTTTGATCTAAGTCCCTGGACAGATGCGCATGTCCTCTGCCCTTTTTTGGTAGAACCAGTTAAAAAGAAGACATCTAGAATGGTAATCCTAGCCTTTTCTTCCCACCACAACACACAGGATTATGGGTGATTCCTTTTAAGATAATGATTGATTCAAGAGTGAGAGAGGCACTATTGTAAATAAAATCAATGATCTCCAAATGTTGGTAGTGATTGCATCTGATCACAAGGATGTGAGAGGAGTCTAGATAGCAAAAGTAAATACCAAAGAAAGATGAAGGACCTTGCTGATCACCCTGGGACAGCTATGCTCCAATGTGGCTGCAGGCTCCACATTGCCATTTTTGGTGTCGCCACGCATAAAACGGGGCTCTGCATGTGGCCAAGTCCATCCCATTTGGCGGATGCACTAATGTCCCTCAACTCCAAACCCACCCTTCTGTACTCTGCTTGCTGATGCTAGGACTGGAATTCTGTAAATTACACATTCCTTTTGTCAGCTATTTTCCTGTTACTGTTCTGCAAACAGGGAGTCCTGGGAGGCAGGGAGAGAAAAGGAATCTCCTTTCTATTTCACTTGTTTGTATCAGTGTCAACTCAACAATGCCTTAACAGCATCTGTGGGTTGCAGCCTCTAGTTTTTTTGAACAGTCCCCCAGCAGCTTCAGTGCATGTCCTCTGAGCTCCTGAAGCACCAGTGCTGGTTGGGTGATTCCTTCTTACCAGAGACCTGAACCCCAGCCCTTTGAGGCACATTCTCCAAACTTGTGGGTGGTGACAACCAACCTCTTCTCTCTATTCTCTCATGCTACAGAACCTACAGTTAATCCCTCCGTGTACCTTAGTGCCTCACACCAATGCCTGTTTAAGCAACTGTCTATGGTGAAGTCTGTTTGCTGAATGCCCAGCGTGGTTTCCATATTCCTTACTGTACCCTGACTGATACACTGAGCAAACAAATTCTGGATCCGGAAAAGTGACATCGCTCTTCAAAAAATTTAACCGAGTGACAGATCAAACCTTTATGAAATATCCAATCTGGTCCGAAGAATAGAGAGAGAAAATTTTTAAGACATCTTTAATAACGTTTCTTAATTGTTAAAGTTTGTGGTATCTCTACTAAAATTTTCTAATGTGATTGATTGAAAGCTTTCAGGAATCTCCTACTCCAGCAAGAAATAAATAATCAAAAGTATACAATCTTCAAAAGAATCCTACTTTTATTCACGTAACTCCTCAAGTAATTTACACACACACACACCACTATGGGTTCAATCCTCTCCATGCCAAACCTATTTCTCTCTCCCTTTTTTTTTAATGTGATACTTTGTAATTCATTTGATTAATGTTTTTATTCTTTAACTAGATAAGCCAGTAGCTGAGATAAACTCCTTTTTCAAGCTTTAATTGCTATCTGTTTCTTTAAGTTTGATGGTTGAGGTGTTGACGGTAATTGCATAAAAAGAAAAGGGATATCCAACTCTCAGCACAGAAGCTATTTGAAAACAGAGACTGAGTTTCTAATAAAAATGTTCTGGCTGGGCGCAGTGGCACACGCCTATAATCCCAGCACTTTGGGAGGCTGAAGCGGGAGGATCACAAGGTCAAGAGATTGAGACCATCCTCACCAACATGGTAAAACCCCATCTCTACTAAAAATTAGCTGGATATGGTGGCAGACGCCTGTAGTCCCAGCTACTTGGGAAACTGAGGCAGGAGAATTGCTTGACCCCAGGAGGCGGAGGTTGCAGTGAGCCAAGATAGAGCCACTGCACTCCAGCTTGGTGACATAGTGAGACTCTACCTCAAAAAAAAAAAAAAAAAGTTCTGAATTAAGCCTAGACTCATAAGTCAAAAACAGGTAGCCTGTGGTTCCTTAGACATTATTTTCAGAACACTCACCTGAGATATCAGTGCTACTTTGTACTAGGACATCAGTGGTGTACCTTTTACATAGAGTGAGAATGCATGAGTTTTTATATTAAATACTGAGAGAAATAACATATTTTAAAAATGGATGTGTTGTACTGAAAAACAGTCCTATAAAGTAAGTAATAATTTGAATATCTACTATCAACTCTTAAAAATCCTTCTGAATTACAACACTGCCAAGTAAGGCGATCTCTTGGGAATACTTTGTGGCAATTTTCATGGTGTACTAAACCCAACTCAATTTATTCTTACAAAAACATTCTTGTTGAACAGCCATACTAAATCTGAATACAGATAAAAGTACAATTGAACTTAAAAAAAAGGCTAAGAATTGATGAGTTAAATGGTATTACCTGAGGATGTACGTATAAGACCCAAAGGGAAGTACCAGTTATAAGAAAGTTGGTAATGACCTAAACAAATCAAGTATGGGCTTGAAGCACAGAGGGGTAACGCATGAATCTGCTAACTGGTCTTTAACAGTATGAGTAACAGTCCTAATGCAAAGGGGAAATCCACTCCTGTGGATGCAACACAGTAGGCTCATTTTCCATTACTTCTTGTCTGCATCATCATCCTCTTTCTAAAATAGGCTGAAACTTAGAAAACCAAGCCACACCGAGTTTAGCAAGAGGATTTCCTGGGTCTAAAGCATAGCCATAGAAGAAAAATACCAAGATGAGATAAAACAACAGACTTGTTCTGGGCTCATTTCTCTTACCGTATCCTTACTTTTCAATGCTAATATTATGAGAAATGCTTACTTTTCAATGTCAACCTCATAGTAACATTGCAGATTTTCCAGAAGCTAAAGGTTCTCATGTTAAGTCAGCCTAAAGAGAACATACTGAGTAACCCATGCTTGTGTTTGTGTGTGGGGTGGGGGGAAGTGGGGGGAAGGCATTGTCAGGCAGGTGGTCACATGATAGCACCAAACTAAAAGAACATCTAATTTTAGCCCCTGTAACCAGAGAAAGCCATGTTCCCTAAAAATCACAAGGCGGTATGCAAAGTAAAGTGCCAGAGGGAAATTTTTAGTTTCCCAAAAGGTCTTTTAGACTCTTCCTCTGTCTTAACCTTGACCAGAAGCTCCTTTCAATTAACACACTTTTAACTAAGCAATTCCAAGAAACGGTTTCTTACCTTTCATAATGTCTACGGGTACAAGTGGCAGCGCTGGTGCTCCCAGGATTACCGCCTAATTCATCATAAATGTGTTTCCATTGACGGCGGGCTGTTATCTGAAAAAATGGCAATGGGGAATTCAATCTTGCATCATAAGAGATTCACAGTGCCAGGCTTCAATACACATGTAATGGTCAGAAAAGAACAGTCTGTTCTGGAAACCCAGAAACAGAGAAGTCCAAAAGAGTATATGGGGTGATTTATGGGTTCATAGTGAGATCTCGCTTTCAGCACTTTCCTTTACAATAAAAATGGAATTCTACTTTTGGATGTATATTTTGTCAGCCTAAGTGCATTTCATTTAAGACACCTCCCTGGATATTCATGTAAGTTTGCCAGGGTCTCATACTGCTACCCTGTTCCTTTATGTCATTTGATAAGGCATCAAAATAAAATCAGGTTTTAGCTGAACACTATCTTAGTTCATCAGTTTAGATGAATCGACGTTAACACTGATTGCCTGAGACATGTGGAAATGGGAAATCACGTATAGAGGTAAAACAGAGTCTTTTCACCAAATATGTTTTTGTATCTTCTGATTTTTGAACCATGTGATATGTTGCCAATTTAAAAAATAAATAAAATTACTACACAGATTAAATTAAATGATCAAATTGGTTGTGGAATTCACAGTCATCTCAGGCTATATTTTTATGCCAGCTTCTCTAACCACCAAAACAAAACCAACATCTGAAACTGTATATGTTGCAAGCTGTTTATTTTTATTCACTTAGGTCAAGAAAATGGGATATTGATCAAATCATATGAAAACTAACATATTCCACAGTTAAAATGTACATTATTGATTTGAGTGAACAAAAACGAACAGCATATAATATACTGAGCTGCACATTATGGTCTTGTTTTATTTTTTTCTTTAATTTTATTTTGGTACATAAATTAAGATTTTACAAAATAACAGATGCAAAATCTGGCAAATGATTAATTTGGGGAAACCATGGCATTTACTACATCCAAGTAAGTCTAGTATTTCCTTGAAATCTGGAAGACAAACAGGTTCTGAGGTCCTCGTGAACATTTCTCAACAGGGTTACAGGAAAACTCTTACTTGAATGTTAGGGGACAGGGCGTGGCAAAGGTGCCAGTGGAATTTAATACAATCAAGCAGGAGGCGTCTTTTGAAAAATACCCACAGGGCTGGGCTGCCAGCAGAGTTCACCTCGGGGCTAAAGGCAGCAATCAAAGAAAAAAATTTAAAAACCTCAACTTGTAGCCAGGGCTCTGTAATTGTAATCTGAGGAGGAGGAGATGGGTGGTTAAATATTATAGGGTAAATGGTACCTTTTCTATTTCAAATAAAAAGAACCCCTTCATTTTCATAAGCCCTTCTCAAAAGGCCCAAGTAGGACCTCAAGACAATGTCAGCTGTACATAATTCAATTTCCCATGAAGCATTCTTGAACCAATTGGTTTCAGTAGTTCTCACTAGACAGAACCACCTCTTACATCTACTAGCAGGTGTAGCTGAAAATAAAATCCCCCCTATTTATAGTTTGTTTTAGATTACAAGAAATGGTTTCAACCCCCTTTCAAAAACACTCAAAATACGTATTTTGATAATTATTTTATATTTAGTTACAATCTCCCTCCAACCTTTAAATGATATAATCTTAGGCTGATCTATTTGAGGCCCACATATCAAGAGAGAAGAAACAGGATACCTCCAAGTGCCTACACGATTCCTCAATGACCCTAGAATACCAAAGCCCCTTGAAATATGCCTCCAGATTTCCCTCGCTCAAATGAGGCCCGTGGGCCCCGGAGGACACAACGGGGTTAGAAAATATCCTGTGTGTCCTGCAGGATTGTGTGTGTCCCTGCAATCACTTAAGAAACCATCACTCTGATCATCCTTGTCTCTTGTGTACACTGTATTTTATATTTTGTAAAGGATTTTGACATCCATGACATCATACAATCCTCCCAGAGCCTACAAAGCGGGTTATAGGAATCTTGCTCACAGAGGAAGAGAGACTCAGAGAGGCTGCCCACTTGCCCAATGACACATAGCAGCAGAATGCCAAAACGAAGACCCATATGGTTGTCTTCTGGTATCAAGAGCAGACTTCTTTTCACTGCATAAAGCAGCTTGTACATCAAAATGACCTGATGAATGCTTGTAGCAAGTTAGTAACATAGAACTCCGGGAGCCTTTTCCTTCAAATGAGGTAGGTGACTGTGGAAATCACAGTTTCTACTATGAGTCCTCAATCTTCAGCTTTGAGTCTTTCCCAACAGGGAAAACTAGCTAAGAGGACAGCATCAATCTAAGGTGGTGGGTTGAAATTAACAAAGCTGTGAGGTTTTACTCTCAAAGCATCAAGTCTACCCCAACCACCTGTGTCTCTCGTTGGAACAGAAGTTTTATATTAAGTTCACCACTGAGTCACAAATAAGTTTCAATTATATCAGAATCCATTCACTCACTCATCCATTAATTCACCAAAAATTTACTGGGCTTCACTCATTTGTTAGGCACTGTGCTAGCAAATGTTACAGCTGGGAAGCAACAGTGAAAAGCAGACCCAGCATGTAAGACCACTGTATTCAAGTGGGGGATGCCCACCATAAACAAGTGAACACATTATAAATAAAATAATACACATTCTGAAAACTGATACACAAGAGAGCCAGGGATATATTAGGGTGTGAAACCGACCGTGCCTTCCTCCCCATCCTGCCATCTAGACCAGGGAGTGCCCTATGACACACTTGCTTATCAGAGAAAAGAAAAGACCACTTTAGGAATAAATAATGCATTATCACAAGACAGAAAAATAATCTACCTCATACTAAGTTTGAAACTGTAGCCACAGGAAGCCAACATCAAGCACTGCTGGGCACTAATAAGCTGTGTGCAGTGGGCCAGGGGTCTGTGTCAGCCCCCTAGCACTTAGTACGTTCTGGTGTTTAAACACAGTTTTTACCAGTGAGGGTCACCTGGAGTGAAGACAGGTCTGGGCCTTAAAGGAAGTGGTTCCTCTGTTTACTGCACTTCCACTGAATGGCCTAGATGGACTTGGGTCATTTTGAGATATTGTCTTTCCATGGGAAAATCACAACATGTGCTCTTCACAGCTGTTTAATACACAGGTCTCCCAGGCACACAGCTCTGTTTTTTTGGTCTGTAGATATACTTGCAATTCAAACACTGGCCATGGACTCCAGAGGGAGAAATGTCTAAATTCTCCCATTGTTCAAACCCAAGATAGGTCTCAGAGCCCAACAAGGAGAGAGAACAGGGCATGGGAGCATCTCCTGGCTTCATGTAAATCTGCCTTCTGTATTACTGTGCTATAGTTGTGCCTAATTATGTACTTGCTTAAAGTTTTTATTCTGTTGTCTAATGTCCTCTCGATGTGGGGAAGCTTTAAAATTCCATCTGGAATAAAACCAATATCTGCCTCCGACTGTCTAGTACCCAGCCCCATTCAGCTGGAAAATTTGATCTAATCAAGGGGCTAGTTTGATCAACTCTCTCACTAAGCCTCAGGCCTCCTGGTTATATTCGTGTTTCAACCTGACCTTCTATTATATTTGGTTTTTTGGGGAACAGAGAACTTCTGGCTCTTTGTTTCCTAAATAAAATAGCCAAATTCATCCACGTGGTTATTTCTCTTGGACTGTGCCTCCTCTTCAAGGTCCTTAAGTAGATGAGGAAAGTTAAGCAAGGAAAGTGAAATTCTTTCAGATGAAAAATAATGGCCCTGTCTCACTGGTGTGAAGAGAAAGGGTTGCTAACTGACTTTCTTAGAAGGCACCACTGTGTTATCACCCTGTGCCTCGAAGATAAGATGTACTCAAGACCCATTTCCCTACTCTACCTTCTCTCCAAATATTGCCTCTGGCTTGCCATCCAATGGTTAGCCAAATGGAAATCACTTAGCAAACCCCCGCCATATGCTGCATCTTGGTAATACCCTCAAGTAGATTCACATCACCATCCACTACTGCTTACCATTTTCAGGTACTATGTCTGTGCAGAGGGAGGGAGGAGGAAGGAAGGGATGGAGGGTAGAGGGTAAGACGGTGTCACGAAAACAAAGACGTTGCTGCTTTCAAGTGTTCACAGTTTAGTGGGAAGCATAACCTCATACAACTAACCATGACACAAGATGAAAAACGGAGCAGAGAACACCCAAGTAAAATAAGCCAATCTGGTGCATGTGAGATTTCATCTCACTTTGAAGACATTTGAAAGTTATTTCTCCCTAGTGTAGGCAAGACCCAAGGGACTCTGTGAAAAGCACTCCACACCTACCATGTTCATAAAATTTTCACTGCTTATAAATATAGTGGTTTTCAAACTGTCTTTCGAGGCCAGGCATGGTGGCTCACACCTGTCATCCCAGAACTTCGGGAGGCCAAAATGGGTGCATCATCTGAGGAGGAGTTTGAGGTCAGCCTGGCCAAAATGGTGAAACTTTTTGCCTCTGCTAGAAATGCAAAAATTAGCCAGTCATGGTGGTGGATGCCTGTAATCCCAGCTACTCGGGAGGCCGAGGCAGGAGAATTACTGGAACCTGGGAGGCGGAGGTTGCAGTGAGCCGAGATCATGGCACTGTACTCCAGCCTGGTCAACAGAGCGAGATTCTGCCTCAAACAAAACAACAACAACAACAACAAACAAAAATAACAACAACAAAAAACAAACTGTCTTTAGAACCCAGGTAGCATTTTAAAGGTCGCCTGAAAGTAACTCTCCACACTTCCCATCCTGGCCAAGAAGACTGGACCGGTGAGTGGAAAAGGAATTTGTCCCTTCCACAGTTTTATTTGATGAAAATATTCTGTCACTTAAAAAAAAAAAAAGTGGAAAATGACTATTTTAACTCAAGACATGCTCTTGGAGCCTTGATTTCTCTGTCTTTGAGGCTGTAGGAATGAAATAATTCTGGAATTTTTGCAGCCTGGGGAGGAAATAGCTATCAGAAATCTTTTTGGACTTAAGTTCTTGCAGTGGCTTAAGAATGTGTAGGACATGTGAAGTCAAGAGAAGAGTTTGCCTGAAAGCAATGTTGCCCAGGCTGTTCTGAGAAACAGCTTCTTTCTCAGGACACCTTGAGGGCGGACTGAATTCAAGGAAGATGACTTTCTTTTCCTGGTAGTACTCCAGGAACTGGAGCCTTTCAAACTATATGACATCATCTTTGGCCTGGAGAATTTTGAATTTAAGCAAGAGGCTTTGCCTGTCCAGAAAACTAGGGTTAGATTCAAGGGATGTCTTTAAAATGACGTCAAAGCCAGAATTTGATGTCAAAGCCTAATCCTTTCAGCAAGGAAAGTGAAATTCTTTCAGATGAAAAATAATGGCCCTGTCTCACTGGTGTGAAGAGAAAGGGTTGCTAACTGACTTTCTTAGAAGGCACCACTGTGTTATCACCCTGTGCCTCCAGGATAAGATGTACTCAAGACCCATTTCCCTACTCTACATTCTCTCCAAATATTGCCTGTGGCTTGCCATCCAATGGTTAGCCGAATGGAAATCACTTAGCAAACCCCCGCCATATGCTGCATCCTGGTAATAACCCAAGCTACTCTTCCAGCATTAATTGCTTCACCAGACACTGAAGTGAAGGCCTCTTTAGTTCATCAGCAAAGATTTATACAGCTCTGCCTCTTCAGTTGTAGGTGATCCATATTCTAATGTTTGGAAGGAAAAGTTGGGTATACCACAAAGGAAGGGTCCTCATTGTCAATTAATCGAAAGGCCAGAACACTGTTTTGTAGGAAATCAAATCCATTCAATATGTTTATGCTCTCTCAATCTAAGGATGAAGAGATACTCTATACATTTCCAGCAAAAGCAGAAGAGGCTGAGAGAATTGCATATAGCTATTAGTCAAATGCTATAAAGGCTAACAATGAAACTTCTGTTCCTCCTTTTTTTTTTTTTTAATTCAATTTGATGGTTGTGGAGGCCTGAAATGAAATAATCCATAATCCGCAATTCAAACCAGAAGGTTTGGAATAGTTTATAACCACAAACAAAAACAAGCCAATTAAGATGGCCTCTTTTTATAACCAGAAGGGATTCCAGGGAGATGTCTTTATCCAATCACAAGTTAACCGTAGAAGCAATACATCTACAACTTTTCTACTTGCAGTTTTTTACTATTATTGAATATTTACATGATGACTACTTCTTGACTCATCTCCTGAATTCACACATTTTGTTCTCGAGAATCAGATAAAAATCTCAGCTAGTAATTGGTACATCTGGCAAAGCTCATGTTAGGTACAAAGAACGGTCTAAAAGATGCTACAGATAAAGGCAGGTTATTCGATTAGAGATTGCTAGGAATGGAAAGCACAGAGAATAATCATTTATAAATCTCTTTCAGTGACGCTACGGAGAATGAGACAATTGTGTACCAAATCCTCAGCAAGTCAATTTGAAGAAAGCCATGATGATCCCTTGCAATTCATTTCATCTCCCAGTGCCTCAGTTTTCTCACTTGTAAAATGAGGCTATGAACTGGGGCAGAGCAGGAATCCTTTTTTTTTTTTTTTTTTTTTTTTTTGCACAAAGGCCAATTTGAGAAAAATTAAAACATGAGAGTATTATAGCTCTACACTTCCCCTCATTAAAAATAAAAATAGTTTACTGAGTTCCAACTTAGACTACCATTTTACCAAATGCAAAAATACTTGTCAGAAGCTGCTGCTCTTGAGCCGAGGAACTATGAATATTCTAGCCTGTTTCTGTAGTAATAGCATGAAGAAAAAATCTTTGATACTTGACTTAGATAGGGGTCACATTCTGAAGCTCAGAGCCATGGGAAACACTTGGCTGAGTGTCATAAATTGAGGTTATCCCTGGATTTGAATTAACATCACCTGGGCAGCTTAAAAGAAAAGAATTCTCTGCTTCTCAGTCCCAGACCCCACCACAGAGTTTATATGTTGGGGTGGGGGTCTAACCAACCACTTAAAGTTCCCCACTAAAAACATGAGCCCTATTCTTGAGTAGCTTTTGGGAGCCACTGATCTAGAAGACTCTAAGGTCTCTTTTGAGTTCTAAATGACAATTCTACACTTATTTCTGATTTCAAATCATGTCAAAGGTAAGTGTCCTCTAGTAACTCTGTGATGACAACTTAAGCCTTCAGACTTTGGATATTATCTGTACATCTCTTGGACTGGCTTCAAAATTCAATGCTCATTGAACATCTCACAGTTTTATTGTTCAAAACTTGCCAAGAGAAAAATGTGCTCTCTACTTATAGGAGGTTCAGAGGCTTAAATGTAGAATGGTGGTGGCAAACTTAAGTATCTGCAGGGCCAGTCTATAGCATGAAACATTTAAAAAAAAAAAAAAAAAAAGAAAGAAAGAAAAAGGAAGAAGGAAGGAAAGGAGGTAGGGATGAAGCAGAAATTCTTCTAAAATTCTGTTCATAACCAGATGGAGCAGATGCCAATTTGATCTTCCATATTCCCCAACCCTAGAGAAGGGGATCGGAATATACCACCCCTAAATTATGTCATGTTGGCATAAAGATTATTTTGAGATGAGGGCAACAGCGAATCAACAGATGCAGGAAGAGTTCTATGCCCTACCCTTATCTGCCTATCTGCCTAAAAGGAGAGCATAAATTTCCCATTGAGAAGACGCCCACAGAATACCAGAAAGAGGAGCGACTCTTATCACCAGAGATGGGAGTTGACAACTTTCCGTAGTTCCCGCAGCCTAATGAATAACTTTGGAGCCTGCCATGAAAGAACATAGCACCCAGGGGCCCAGCATTAAGGGACCTAGCATCTGAAGGCCTAACATCAGAGACCTGGCATGGAGGACCTTCCTCACTTGTCCATCTTCTGTCCATTCTTCGATCTGAAAACTTCCCTTCAGGGCCACATGTCCCAGGCACCTCGTCACTCTATTTTATGTTATTCAAGCTCTCTATGCCCAGCTTTACTCTACCTCCACATAGTTTCCCTTATTTGATTCATTCTCTCTTTGTGGAAGACATAATTGATCATTCATGTCTACATTCTATCCATTCTCCAGAATTCTCCCCAAATGGCCTCAGAGCCATGAAGCCTTCCTTCTCTCAGCCCACGTGAGTAAATACTTGGCCTGTGTAGGGCACTAATCTTTTTCCACCTTGTTTGATCATTATTGCCTCTCTTGGATGGTAAGCAACTTAAGGGTTGAAATTGAAATTACCGGCCTTACTAAAACCTTACATCTAACAGTGTCTAAAACAATGCCTTGAACACGTAAGGTACTCAGTAAATATGTGGTCAGGTGTTTTGCTGATTGTGTACTCATCCATTTATCCAACAAAAGGATAAATGCTGTTTATTCAAAGAGTACTGTGAATGCCCTGACATTTATCAGAAGTTTCTGCTGTACATTCTATATCAATTTGCTGTTGCAGGGAAAAAAATTCTTTGTGAAGATACAGAAGACACAAAAGCAGGAAAAACTGATTCTGTGAAATTGTTGGCACTCTCCTTATCAGTGAATAACAAAAAGTTCCCGAGTGTGAAAAGACATTTAATAATATTGTTCAACATCATATAACTCTCTTCAGTCATAGTTCATATAAAAATGTGTATTCCTATTCTAAACATTAAAAGCTAGACTTTTTTAGCCTATGGGGTTGACTTCTACGTTTATGAGACTAACCCTGAATAAGTTATTATTTTTTTTTACATGAATGGGGACTATAATTAGCTCAAGATTTTGCAAAAAACTATGAGCTACAGTGGCAGGGTATCCATATCCTGATCCTGTCAACAGACTCAACTACATGAAAAATTACAATTTTTACATAGGGCACTTGATAAAATAAATATTTGAAGTAAATTCATGTATATGAAATGTACATTTTATATGTAGTCCATGTGACTGTATTTCTTTATAAACGTGTACATATCCCATATATTAAACATATTACAAGCACATATTATTCATATCAAAGAATTTTGTCAGAATTCATAGCAGATAGCTCAACAGTAAATACCAGATTATCTGAATCACATAATACTTGTCATCTTTCTCCATTGTAAGCCCCTGACATTAAACCATTATATTGGTTTGTGGAACGATATGCTTTATCTGGCAAGAAACACTGGTTATTACGTTTGGGCTAAAAGGAATTTCATTTTCTTGACTTTGTGTGTCTTATTGTCATTTTACTATGGTACAGAGATATTCCAGATTACTTCTTAGGGAATGAAAAAATAATTTCTTATTCAATTGCAGAAGAAACTACACAACTTAATCTGATCATTGCGTGGGGGAGAAAATATTCCCAATGACGACATCTTCCTATGTCAACTGATTTTATTACAAATGTCATCTCTGTGGGCTACATTAATGCAGCTCTTTCTTCTTACTTCAAGATTTGAATCTCAGTTTGTTTCTCTAATGTTTCATTGGTTCAAAATACATGCTGTAAAAATCCGTGGCCATCAAATTTTCCTGTGGGCTAAAAATAACCCATTGCTGTCAGTTAGAATTAGCTGATAAAGAGTGTCAGAGCCTGTTCTGAATAAGTTTGATAACTTCCTGTTTATGCAGCACTGACCCTTGTCTAATAAAGCTTCTTTGCCCTAGAATGAGAGAGATTCTGCTGCATTCTATTCCTTAATGGCTAATACTGATTACTTTTGAAAGCCTTTAATACATTTCCCATATTAGACATGAACAGATGTCAGGTATGTTGCCAAGGGAAATTTCTTTTATGCAATCTTGGCTTGTTGTACAATAATAGCCCTTTCTCAACATGGGAAAAAATTACAGACCCAACTAATTTCCCTGACAGGGGAGAGTTACATATGTTTTCCACTTGTAGTTTTTACAAGTTTACAATTTTGCCAAACCTGGAACTAATTGGGACTGTTTCCAAAGGGCCCAATAAACCCCCAAAATTACAGAGACGTTTGAAAAGGCAGTCAATGATGGTTTGCCCTTGCATTTTCTCCATTTTGGTCAGAGAGGGGAAAAGTTAGATTGCAAAATTATTTCATTTAAGTTGCTTAAACACTTACTGTTTCATATCCTCCCAGTTTTTGAGCAGCTTGAAACATAGTCCAAAGGTTAACTGTTAGAGGGACAATAAGTATTTAGATAAGCATTGCATTAATACATTTCCAAGAAATGTCAATTAAAACATTGTGTTTCGTTTTTTTTTAAATGAGAAAGAGAAAAAAAGAAATACTGACATACCCCAGAGAGCTAAATTCTTAGGAAATAATTTGCCCAAAGGGCATTCAACAACAGAATCTATAATTACCACTTAAAACATTTCTTAAGACACACTCATAAAGCTACAAAAATGGTTCTATTTTTAGGATAAAAGACAACAGAGTTTTCAGTCCTACTGTCAGCAGCAGAGCAAGAGAAGCTAACTTAGGAGCCTTTGGGAAAAAAACATGGGCTTTCAAAATGGGGTTGGTCTTCTTCGACCCTTAGAAAGAAGCCATTGATTAAAGAGTAATATATAAAGCTTCTCTGAGATAAGAACTCTCCATAATCAATAAATAACAGCCACTTTAATATATGATTACCTTCTTAATAGAATGTCTGATGGCAGCACTATATTAAAGGCTCATACAGTATTTCACCAACATGTGGTGGCTTGCAGTGAGTAGGAAAACAAATATTTCACATGGAAGCCACAGTGATACAACAGATAACAGGGAAAGTTCATTCAGAGAGGAATTGAGTCGTGAATCCACTTAGTCCCCTAACTGGACTATGTCATGTTGCAAATATTTATTTTTTCAAACAGATTTCTCTTTTCGGAGTTTGCATATGTTTATGCTGTTAAACAGCTATGCCAAACTGCTAGCAACCCTGTTCATTTATACCAAATACCATGGAATGGGACTGCTATGGATTTGATTCTTTTACAAGAGGGGAAAATTGAACTTCAAGTGATTCCTTGGTAAAGGAAATGAAGAATAAAATGATTTTTTTTAAAGGCTCTTTGACACAACATGTTCGCAAAACCCCATTGAACCTTGCACTATTTCAGAGCTATCAAGAGCCCTGTCTCGGCCTTGATTTAATCTGAACCAATGCATAATGCAACAAAGCTGTTCATAGTACATTAATTTTACTTCTATTTCAAGCAACCAGTTTTCAGACAAACATTGTAATCATTCGTAGTTATATAAGTTTATAATGGCTGCGAGTGTTCTCTTGCAATCAGTGCCAATTGCTATTAGGTATGTAAATTGTTATGTAAAACACACAGGTTTGACATTCTTCATCAAAATGACACATGGTTTCAATCTAGGAAGATATGTCTGGAGAAAACACTATTTCAAGCCAGAGGCTCATCGCTTTGTGCACCACTAAATCCAGACGGAGGCAAAATATATATTCAGTTGCAAAATCAAGGCAGGATCTGGATTTCTTCTCTTTTGATTCGGAATTCTGCTTGGCTATGAGTTTCCTGTTCTCCTTACAAATATACAATGACACTTACATTTAAATGTTCATGTCAAAGTAATTCAAAATTAGGCCCTCTGTTCCAATCTGTGTATTTCTTGTTTTCTCTGAAGTTAGATTTTTGTTATCTTTTAACAAATTTGGGGCTTAGGAAATGTGTTTTCTCTTTGTGGTTGTTTTGTCCATCTTTCAATGTCGTTCTTTTAAAAGCTGTTTTTTTTTTTTCCACAGGCAACATCTGTGCCTGATAAAGCTACGTCATATTATTATCTCACAAGAAAGGCGTCACAGACACTCAAGATTGACAAAACAGAAAATGAGAAACTTTCAACATGTCTATTTCCAGTCATAATCAGTGGATTCAAGCCTATAAATATCTCACTGCAACTGTCCCAGAAGGGAACAATGTAGCGGAAAAAGGCAGGGAAAAAATTCTTGGCTTGGAACATTTGTGGATTTAGTATAAACAGAGAGCACTATCCCCCGATTAGGATTTCAACATAATCCTGAGTCAAAATTATTTTTCCAATTCAAAGAATCTGAGCAGCTCTGATAATTCAGAAACGAAAACAAGTATACTCACTCTGTTTAAAACCTAAATAGGGTATTCGTTCTATCGGCGTTTTCCTTTCTTTCATGTATTTATAAAGTGCCACCAAGAAAGCTTGTTCATCTGCCCTGCACTCTTCACCAATGGCAACCTTTGGTTTTTCTTCATTTGAGACTTTTTTACAGTTACTATGGTTATTCTTCGGCTTGGTCAAGGCTGACCTAGCCTCACATTTCACCTGAAAAAGGGAAAATATGCCACATCAGACCAGGCACAGCCCTGGGATCCTTACTAAGACATAGCTAGTGACAGAGCCAGTGACACTTTTCAGCAAGTGCTAAGGGTGAACCAGTAAATTATCCCTGCTTTTAATAACTTTTCATAGGCATCACTGAAGATGAATTGTCTGAGGCCAGGGGAATGGCAAATTTCTGTAAAGGGTCACATAGTAAATATTGTAGGCTTCTGGGTCATACATACACTCTCTGTTGCAACTAGTCAACTCTAGTAGGACAGCAGGCGTAAGCAATATGTTAACGAATGGGTATGGCTGTGTTCCAATAAAACTTTATTGACAGAAATAGTCAGCCAGTGGGCCACAGTTTGCCAAACTATGCCAGCTTCTTTTAGACTCCTGACAAGTACCTTGATGTGAAATGAGAGATAGGCTTTGCATCTGGTAGAAACATTCGTCTGTCTCTTTATATTAATACATTTTATTTTCTTAAGGAGAAGCGTCAGTTAATGTCCTTGAACAAACCCTGCCTCCTTAACAAATAGTACCATATGTTATACTTTGCATCAAAATGGTTTACTACTTTGTAGTAAACCATTCTTGTTGCTATTCTCTCCAGCAACCTAGAAAAACAAGTCAATACCAGCAATGCTGGCATCAGCAATACCAGCAAGGCCTCTGCTGTTTGCCACCCATGGGTGATGCCGGGGTACACCCTCAGTATGAAACAAAAGATCTCACTGTTTAATGAGGGCTTCTTGTTTTATCAGTCAGCTCTAAGAGTAAGATGTTAACTTGCCACAAAAGAAAGAGTAGAGGTCAGCTAAAAACCCAAGAAGAGTGAGTATAAAGCTCCATAATTAAAAACTAAAAGGCGGTAAAGGCTCCAGATGTTCTTCCTTCCACACTGCAGGCAGATAGGGAACTTGGCATATCGAGCGGCTAACCTAATGTTCCCTCCTCACTGCCATGTTCTACAAGAGGCCTTTGATGGTTGTTAAATATAACGCTAAGTTGCTGAGCTATTTTAATTGTAAAAGGGGGAAGTACAAAGGGTCAGACTCTGAGTTCAAATGCGCCCATGGGGAATGTGTACATTCCAATATTCTTTACATCTCCATAACTGACATCGGGAGACAAGAGGGCAAGAGCTGGGGAAATGTTCTGAATAAAAATGTCCCACATATTCTACGACGCTGTCCATTTCAGGATTTTGAACCCTTTTTCTTTCCCTGCAGATCCTCCTTCCTAAGCATTAAGAACATAAAAGACTATGCTTATTTAGTAAAGGAAAGTGCACTCTCTGCAAGAGTTTTCTTTATTGCTTATTCTCTCAAGTGAACACACAGTATTTAATATCTTTCGACTGGTCCTGCAAAGATAATACTTCCTATGAAACTGATTCAATGGGGCTTCTAGATAAGATTTTAATTTTTAAGGGGCTGTGGAAACGGGGACTGAAACAATTTTTCCATGTAGATTTTGTACTCTGTAACATTATATTAAGGCAAATATCCTGTGAAACTTTATGTTGTCATCATTTTTCACTGCCAAATTTTAGGCTGTTGGATCTAAAGTTCTGGTGAAGTCTATAATTTATATGGCTTCTTGAAATCATAACATCACTCCAGTTTTAATCTGTATTGCCTCCCACCCCTTTCTGAGTGTTTCCTGGGCAGCCAGGCTCTATTCTCAATGTGTTTATGTTTTATTTCATACTCATAATCTGAATGAGGTATTTATGATTTTCGTATTAGAAATGAGGAATGGAGGCAGACGGGATGAGCAGCATGGACAAGATCACAAGATCATGCCCTAGTTAGTAAGTGGGGAGTCTGAAATTTAAGCTTAGGCAGCCTTCCTTTAGGGCTTGTGGTTTTAAACATTATACTTTTCTGACACTCTTCATACAAATATTCAATTGGTAATCAAAACAGACTTCCCAATTAAAAAGCCTATATGATTATGAGGCATTACAAAACCTACTACTTAGAAATGTGGTTTATCAAATGAAAAGTAGAAGACAAATCTAGGGGGTTTCCAATGTGTCAAGGAGCTCCATTCTTTCTATTGTATAATGAGCAAAGGGGAGGGAAATCAGTTTTCCATTGAGTTCCTACAATGAGCTAGGTCTGGTGCTGTGGGCTTCACATGCTCTACCTTAATGTTCCTAAGAATTGTCAAAAGGAGATATTTAGCCACATTTTACAGTTGAGAAAACTAGAGTTCAGTGAGGTCATGTATGGCTTGGAAGAGGCAGACCTCTGGGTTTAGAACTCAGTTCTGCTCCACTCCAAACCCCAATCTTGTAACATAAAAGAGTAGATCTCTCAGGTTTGTGTATAAAATAAACTGAGTCTTAAATTTGCAGTGATAATGGGCCAACTATCTATATTATTAGGTCAGAAGCACCACTGTTAAAAGGAGAATGAGGTTTGAACTCCGTGGTGTCTAGAGAGCTGCTTACCCCTCGTCCTCATCTGTAGAAACACTCAGAAACAGAAGGAAGACACAGAGGGGTGCATGAACCAGGTCCAAAGCAACCCAGACTCCGTGCTTCATAGGAAAGGCTCCAAGTGAAGCCAGGCTGCCACCTGCTGAACTCCATCCTGAATCTCAGTGGGCTGCCTGCACGCTGCTCCCGGGGAGGCTGGGTACTTGGTAAGAAGTGAACAAGAGAACAGAGGCTTCTTTTCTTGTTCTAGCTTGATACATTTTTTTTCCAGTTAACATAAATGAGCTTTTTAGGGCATTATTCTGTTTCTGGGTAGGACTAAATCAAGTTCCTTTCTATATGTTTTTTTTACCCAAAGCATTCACAGTATTTCAATCTATTGAATCATTACAGTGCAGGTGGTAGTGGCAAGGAAAGTAGTCTTCAGGTTGGCCTAAGAAAGCCCAACCTTTTGATTGTGACAGTTAATGACTAGATCTGTTTTTCCTGACCTGAACACCATACACCTGTTGAGTATACTAAGGGCTTTGGGGTTTCCAAAATGATTGAGGAGGTGCTAATGAAATAATCAGCATTTAACATTTTCCATGAACCAACACCTGTTTGATATTAACCACATCCTTCCAGGGGATTGAGTTATAACTAATCCAGCCTTCAACCGGGACAATAAGATGTGCTGAACCAGCAATATAAAAGCTAGAGTTCTCATCTTGGTTTGGTTGCTACCTTGCTAGGTGACCCTCAGTTTCTTCCATAGTAAAGCAAGAATGATAATCCCTGGGAACAGTTCTGAAGACCACATGAGAGGAAAAATATTGAAAATAATGAAAGCATCCTATTTGTGAAATATCAAAACTATGTTTATCATCTAAATGAACACACTGCCCACCACAGTTCTGTTTTTGTGTTCCTTTTAGAATATAAACCACCTGTTATACACTTCTGCCCTTCAGAAAAATGCTTACGGGATATAAAAAATCATTTGCCATCTATCGATGTAGGCCTTTTATTAGAGTGCGATGCCAAGAAGATTTCTCTGGTATAGATCGCTCTATGAAAGGTGTGGGCCTCAGGTCACTGCTTTAAGATGATTCCAGAAAAAAAATGGCAGGATTTGGGCTGAACACAATCATGGTATCTTCAGAGTTGGTAGTTTCCTCTCCACATGACACTTGCTGTCTTTGGAGAGCCATGTAATTCTCTCTCCCTTGGAAAGTACCATCTTGCAAAGCTAGTCTTCAGTTCTCATGGAGGGAGTGCAACATTTTGATGGTGACAGGCAAATCACTTGACTTATTTTTCCAATCATAAACACAGCAAACCCAGTGGGTCCCACTCTAAAAGCTTTGCTGTGTGGAGCTGCACGAAGTTCATGCTTAGTTAGAAATGGTCTGTTTGAGGCACTTTTGAAAAGAAACAGTCACATGGGTCTTGGTCATAAAGTCAAACAGCTCACTGTCCCCTAAAATGCTGCTTCCAGTTCAGCAGATGATCAGATGGTCACAAGCTTATAATCTCTACTGCAGCATTTCATGAGAAAAGACCACGTAAAGACACACATGCCTTTTTCATGACTGTCCTCGTCTCAGATGTGGCTTGTTCATTCTGCAGGTGTTTTACATCTGTCTGTTGGTGCCAACAGACAAGCTTGTCATACTTCATACCTACTGATCTTCTTGCTTAAGTGGTCTTGCTAGACCCACTAGAAGCTGCCAAGGCGTGACTGTAATCCAAGACTCTGAAAAGAGCCAAGCCATTAGACCAGTCCCTAGGAGCTGAGTACAGCATGACATTCATCTGTTCACCACTGAACACCAGTGGTGGAAGGATGATCCATCTCTTTGTAAAGATTGTCGGGCAGCAATGTTGTGGGGATGGGGTAAAGGCGTCACTTAGAAAATCCAGGACTGACTTCTATCCTTCTTGTTAAGAAGTCAGTGATCAAATACAGCCCATCTGTACAGCAGGCTCTTGTTCTTCTCGGCTTTGTGAGCACAACAGTGAGTTCTGAGCTGCCTTCCGTGGAGAGAAACATTGGAGGTGCTGTTCTTTCAGATCAACTGTATGAGTTTTGTATAATTCCCAGAGGCATACCTTGGTGGTGACGCCAAGTGGCATGGGAAGGAGGTTTATCCTGCTTGGCTCAGGTACAGAATATGCTGGAGTAAACACAGGCTGTCAACCAAGAAGGATGGGCTGGGCACCAACAGAAGGCATGGGCAGTACAAGCTCTGCTGAATGTTATGGTCTTAAAACCTTCTTGCCCCATTCCACAGGATCTTGCAAACAACATAGCAGGGAATGAACTGTTCCTGCTGACATCCTTCAAGACCATGGAAACCAAAGTCCTAGGTAGACAGTTCTAGTGCTGAGGTGTCCAACTTACAAGAAAATGTCATTCATGGTGTCCATTTGGAGTTGTTCACAGAAAGTTAAATGCACAGAACAAAAATCACCTTAGGGAGAGAGATTTGTTTTCAACTAGAAAATGGAAAATACACATTTCTACTGGTTCATCTCTTCTTAACCCTTTGGAATCTTAGAAGTATGAAGAAATTCTAAGCAAAAAAGTCCTTAGAATTTCCTAATGAAACAATGATGCTTAACGATAAGCTTTTTTAGAATGTGGATGTCTAAGATTTACTTCATTACATTGGGGAGGAGGTGGAGTACATGGCAGAGAAACAGTAGACTGTCAACACAGAACTGAATTCATGTTTTTTTTTTTCTACATCAGACTCTTCCAAAGTCACCACTAATCAAAATGCTTCCATTTTCAGAAGTTTAGTTCTTTGATCTGGAAACTGGTGTCAGTTGAAATCTGTTCTTCAATTAAAATCCTAAAGGGACGATTGCCGTCTTTGGCACAAAAACAACACCTAAACGCAGTAAACAGAACCATGGAAATCTGACCCAAGTCCACAAAAGTCAGAAAGATAAGTCTAAAAATATAAAGTGATACTTTACCCTTTGTGGTGCTAAATACTTCAGGCATGCACTTTCAAGATTCCAAAGAATGCTTAGGCAAAAAATGGACCTGGGTTCTGAACAACTGTGTAGCATTTACTTTCATTCTGCATTAACAGACATCTTTAAGAGTATATAAATGCTTGCGGGCATATGTATACATATAAATGTTTTGCTATGTATCTTTAATTTTACTCTTATGTAAATTAGAAGTGACTTTGAAAAATACATAACTAAAAAGATTAATTCTAGCTATTTCTAATTTCATCCTCTGTTAATCTCCAAAACACATTTAGATGAATACATTCAGAAGGAGGACGGTTCAGCTGGTCTATTTTTGACACAAGCAGAGTAAACTATGTCATTGTGTCACCCACTATGAAATCTCAGCCTCAGTGACGTGGGTGCTTAATCATCTGTCCTTTACTCAAAACAGGCCAAACTGGGAGCTAGGAAGTCTTTCTGTTGACTAATCAAAATGCCTACCTCCCCCACCCCACAGCACCAGGGGAGGGGATGTGACAGGAACAGGCACAGCATAGAGCTTCAAAAGCTCTGAATACCAAAGTCAGATGCTGAATTGAAAACTGCCTCCAAGACACAAGAGCAGAGAGATAAAGAGAAAAAGCAAAAATAAAAAGATGCAACAAAATGAATACCATGGAGTGAATGACCGTACCTTGGCAACGGCTTTGCCATCAGAATTATTGTTGGAATCCTTAACACCACTGAATGAATCTCTTCTTTGTGGGCATGGTTTCTTTTTGCGTGGTCTGCCTTTAAGATTTGGCGCTGAAAACAAACGGAGAACAATTGATATACATTTTCATTTGCATGGGTTTATTAAAGACCCAGAATCTGACTACAGTGATCCCTTCTAATTGTTCAGAGAAATGTACATAACTGTGGTAGGCAGCCCTCCTTATTACATGCTTCTCTCTCTGAAGGATTGCATATTGGTAGAGTATACATTTCTGTACATGTTTCCCAAAGCTAATCTATTGAGCTTTAACATGTCTAATTAATATTAAGTAACACGAAGCTCTTAGCTCTAACGGATCATAAGAAAAATGTTCTTCCACATTGTTAGACAAGAAGCATTTGGGGCTGAAAAACTGAGCCAGGCTTTGAGCTCAATTTTTGGTTTTGATTTTGTATCCTGCTTTCAGAAACCTGTGATACGCCTGCCCTTATGGTATCATAGTAATGAAATGTTTGAAAACATCTCTTTTAGAAAGTATTCAGAGACAAGGGCATTCTCTCAAATTACCAGACAGATAAGTAGAGAGATACTACAGAGAGAGGCATTCACAACAACAAGCTGGAAAATATTATTATACATATTTACTAATAATTCTGCAACCAGCGTGTTTCAAATCTCAACAAATCTGGCAGATACATTTAAATCAGCATGCTCTCTTTTCCTTTTCAATATATTTTTATGAAGATCTTAGGCTTATTTAAAATAACATCCAAAGATTACACTGGGGTTAGCCTGATTCCATGGGGGATACACTTTTGAAAAACCGTAGACAAGATACAAATCAAAGTTCTATTTCATCCTTGATTCTGAGCTTGGTTCCTTTTAAGATCTATACAGAAAGCAGTAAAGGAAAGGCTGCTGTTTACTCAGAGCGATGCCTGTCCGGCATCAGCTTTCACATTTAACTTCATCAGTCACCCAAGTCAAGCAAAATGAAAAACAACCAACTAACCAACCGCCCTTGAACGACTCTACACTAATGAATTATACCCTAAACAATTTGCTTCAGACCTTTCAAGATACCCACACTTTTTATTACTTCAGGAGTGATTATGATAATGTCAAATCTAAACAACATGAACCTTCTCAATTGTTGTTAATCTTACTTACGCAGCGAACCAGTGGTTTTAGAACATTTTTACATTGTACTCATTTTGCAAACACAGTTAATCCTACTGATTTGATTTCCTCCTCCGGATAACAGTTTCACTGTTGGTAAAAGCTCAGTAAAGCAGAGCTGCCTTTAAAATCAGAGAGGCAGAAGTTTCAAAAGAGGCTTGAGGGCTTAGGATCCCCTTCCTAAACCCGCTCTCTGCTTTCATTCCCCTAAACGCTGGTCTGAAAGTTCATCGCAGAAAGCCAGCCTGGAATTAACCAAAGGTAAACAAGCTCACAAACAAAAATCAAGCAAAGAGAAAGCAGCGATTACCCATTCCAATCGACAAACATCTGCCTGACTGATGTCTGTGCTCATGAAAGCTACAGCATGTGACTGCTCTCCGGCCACATCCCTGGAAGAAGTCTCGACTTGGTGTGGATGTCAGCTTCCCTCCGAATGCGAGCTGCGAGGCTCAGCGCTCTGCTTACAACTCCCCTCCCCCGGCAGCTCCATTACTCATGTAAACACACAGCAGTGACTAGCACCGAGTGTGTGGGATGAGCCTGAGGACTTTGCTGGAGTTGCCAGACTGGCAGGGAGGGCTCTGCTCTGTCCGCCTCCCCGCGCGGGGCTGGTGATTGCAGCCGGCCTGTTTTGTGGATCCTGACCTCTTGCTCTCCTCGTCAGAGCACGAAGCCACGTTCCATGAATTGGACACGGTCCGCAGCCTGGAGCCAGGGCGTGGACTGTTTGTTTTGTTTAGAAGACTTTGTCTAGCACAGAAGTGTTTCCACAACTGACCCAAGTGCTAAGACTTTAATGACCGTGAGGGAAGGATGTACTTTCAAGTCCCTAATCAAAATAATCGCTGAGCAGAAAACTGACAGAACTTAGGGTAGCAGTTCGGAGGCATTTCATTAAAACAAAACAGTATCACCTCTGTGCTGCGACTTGTTACTATGATCTTCCCTTCCTAGCATTTTGGCGAAAAGCACTTAAATCTACAAGGCATTTATTTCCAGAAAAGCTTTCAAATCCCAAAGGCCTTTTTGATAGAACTTGCATTGAACATGCTGTTTTTAAATAAAGGCAGAGGTTCCGGGAACTGACAAGAAGTCATCCCCAAACTGGGTTTATTTTCTCTATTCTTTGAGCTGTTTTCAGAAGCCAGAGCAGCACATGTACTCCCCCAGCAGATTCTGAGAATTACAAATTTAGAACAGACTAGCACCTAATATTCTGGTCACACAAACTTAAACTCTAAATGGGATTTGATCAAGAGAAAAAGCCCTTTGTTCTTAATAAGGCAAGTACATGGGTATTTCAGGTATGGTTAGGCAAATCCCACCAGTCACTCAGGGCTCAGACTCGCATTCCTCTCCTCCTCTCCCTTCTGAATGTTTTTTCTCTCCTTCTCTTATGGAACATTTCACTGTATTCCTTGTATACTAGACTGGAGAATCCTTAAGGGCAAGACCCTGTGGGATGTGTGTTTTACCTGCCCAGCACAACACCCAAAGGCAGCATTACATAACATGCACTTGTTGAATGAAAAAGTGACTAATAGAAAGAAAGATGCCCACATATTGTTCTATCCCGTCTTCATAGACTGGTCCTGCCAGCCTCCCATGTGGCATACGTGTCACTTTGGGCACACGTAAAACCGCATTCCGCTTTACTACTTAATGCTGATACTCTGAAAACATAAACTGGTGACTTGAGTTCGCACTGGGAATGGAGACAGGAGACCAGGGCCTTTGGAATCTCAGTAGGGCTATCATCTAGTCCCCATATGCAATGCACAAACACCCTGAAGAACACAAGCATTCAAAGTCCTGGGGGGAATGGAACACAAAGGACTGGGTAGGGCCCCTGCAATCCAATTCCAGACCTTTTGGATTCAGAAGACACCAGGTAAAGTTTTGGTATTGAAGGGCTGGCTTTGGGGACAGCAAAAATTCTGGTCCCCAGGCCACATCTTTTTCCCTTTAGGGCCATGAAACTCTGTCATTTGCTAGGTCAATGAGTGAAAACAGGTGCATTATGGTGTGCTGGTGGACAGGAGTGGGGTGGGTCTGTGGACTTTAATTGACTCATGTAAGAAACAGCCCTAGCTCCTTCTAGCCACCCTGCAAGGACCTATACCTCTCCTTGAAAGCTCAGTGCTATGTAACTGACTCCCAGAACCTAAGTCTTGAGACTCCAGAATTAGACCGGCTCTTGTTCTTTAGGTGAGACTGATCTTTACCAAGAAAAAGCTCTGCTAGAGAGAAAGTAGTACCCTTACCGATAGCACATCTGGCTCCAGCCAGTTTTATTTTAAAAAAAAAAATTAATGCGAAGCAATAGATATACTGTTACTTTTAGGGGTGTATATAATTCACTGGCCTGGTTTATCGGAGAGTTCAGTAAATGCTCTTTGCGTGAATGTTTCCAGCATTGTGCATGAATAATAAGAGTAGCTAAGTGAATAGTAATAGTAACTAACCGTTTCTGAGCACTTTCTCTTTACAAGTCATTCTTCTAAGTGCTTTGCATACAATAACTCCATTAAAACTCCCAATGAGCCAAAGAGGAAGGCATGGTCCTTTTTCCCCATCATACAGACAAGAAAACTGAGACAGAGATGAAATAACTTGCCTCAGACCATACAAATAGTTACTGGTGGCAGAAGGATTTCAACACGGGCAACTGGACTTTATCCAGAGCCCCTGCTTTAAGCAACTTATCTCTGATAGACACACAGACACACACACACCGCCTCCGAATGAAGTATTCATAGTAACTTGGGCTGGTAGTCACCAGGGAGCACTCCCCAAATGAAAACACTGAAGTTCTACACAGCACGAGGGTGCTGTGGCCCACCCCAGACAGGAAAAAACGTCCAACTGAATTGACAGCGAGTGGGGTCCCCATTAGTCTTAACCTAACCGTAGCTGGTAAGACTTCCACTAAAGCCAATAAAACTTAGTCAGAGAGCCCTGCATATTACCCCATTCACCAGTGGGCCACTGACTCTTCTCTCGAATCATTGAAAGATCTCTGTGTTTTTTTTTAAAAAAAAAAAAAAATCTTTTCCCTCTGACTGCCCATCTCTTCCTCTTTCTAACTCAGTGCCAAGAAATTAACAACTATTCACCTTTGTGAAGTCACTGCTATTTCTATAGGTGTTAATCCTCAGAGAATCAAGCTACCTCCAGAGCTCCAGGCTACAGTGAACCCATGTTTGTTTTTTCTTTTTAAACGCCTTCAAATATTAATGAATTATAGTCTATTTTCTCAACAGGATAGCAAAACAAGTTTGTTTTTCTGAAAGGGTCTAGAAGCTCAGAGGTGCAGCCGTTTGTTTATATATTTATTTCACTACGGGTTCACACAAGTTACATGGCAGGGCAGTGCAGGTGTGGGAAACTTTTATGTCAACCCCAACTCTTGTAATAATAATAATAAAACAAAGGGAAATGTAACCAGTTACTGGCAAAGTAAATTGCTTTTGGCTCAAATGTTCTTGTTTTTTTCTACTGTGTTCTTCCTGTCATGACCGTCTCTTTTTTTAATAGCATTTATGCTCTTGGAAATACCACGAAGATAGATAATCTGCTATAAAAGCTGGACTGACTCATCAGTTAACAACTCTTTCTTCCCATTTTGCGGAGAGAATTTTGTTGCCAACACAGCTACATATTCTCTCGAGAAATTCTTTGTGAGCTTCCACTCAGAGATAGGACTTGCTTGTTGGTAGGGACTGGCTTCAGGAGAATGGAAAACCAGCACAATTTCCCTAAGAGTTTGACCCCCGAGGTCAATGTCTAGAGGAAGCCCGCAGAGTGTTAACTCATTCGATTTGCAAGTTGTGTGTGTGTGTCTTTTAAACAGGAGCCAGAAGACAAAACTCCACTGATCGCAGTATTAAGGCAGACAAACGTTGTT